CCCAGTGTGATCCTTCACCATGGGAAACCCTTTTCCTTCACTGGCAAAGCTTTGCTGGAGTGAAATATCCGAGAAGCTGGTGGCACCCATCAGTGTCCCCCCACCCAGGGAGTCCCTCACTGGGCTGCCACCTCCCCAGGACCTTCACTTAAGCCATGACTTGGCCAAGGAAAGGCCTTGGGACCATGGCTTTTCCTCCCATCCTTCCATCTCTAAGCCTAAACCCAGCACCAGGTGCCAGATGTGTTCACCAAAGCCTCTTGCCCAACAGATGGTGACCACTTCCCCTCTTCACACCCTAGCTGAGTCAATGAGCATTTGTGCCTGGTCACAACAGGATGAGGAGCTTCAGACCTGCTGTTCACCCAAGTGAAGGAATGAAAACTAAACCACCCCATGTCACATCTTGTTATGGTTCCTCCCTGCTCAGCTCCTGGAGCTTTCTACACCACCTTTAGTGTTTCCTTTCAGGAAAAAAACAAACCTGAGCATCTCCATCCTGACCATGGGCCAAAGTCATTCTTCAAGGGTGAAGGGTACCAGTGGTAGGATGCTGTCCACTGGGAAAGGTCCTCTGCAGAGCCCAGGCTGTGCTAAACAAAGCTCTTATGGGCCCTGCAAGAGGTGGTGGTGTTACATCTGCTGGAGCTTGGCTCCATCCTACGTGTTTTGATGCTCCCAACACATAACATGAAGCCCAGAGTGAGAGCAAAAAAGGGCCTTGGAGCAGCCTTCAGTTCTGGTGATCTTGTGACCCTCCCCACCCCCCAGCCCTGGTGTTCAGTCTACACCCACCTCGTTCCCCTTGAGTTTGGGAAGGTCAATCAGAGCTTTGCTAGAGTTCCTATAACCAGCAGAACCAACCCTGTCACCCCCACATGGAAGTGCTGGTGCCAACACCCAACCTGACAAACCATCTGGGACCAACCAGCAGTAGGAAAAGTCCTCTTGGGTCCCTAAGCTTGTTTCTCCCCATTTGGTCCATGCTTCAGGGGAGGAGCTCCAGCAGCTCCTCCCAACAGCAGCAGAAGCCAAGCTGGGACACACCATGAGGAGCAAACAGGTCTCACCCAGGTGCTGACAACTGCTCACCTTGCTCTTCTGAAAGACCCTCCAGTCTATCCTCTACAACACCATGTCCTGGTCAAGGTGAGCTTCCAGTGTTGGTCTCCACTGCCCTGACCTCCACCTAGAGATGCAATGGCATGACCAAAGCAGAGCAACCATCAGAGACCTCTGGGCACTGACTCAACACCACACATGGTGGTGAGAAACCCATCCCAGGAGGGATTCCCATCCACATCTCCTAACCTGACCTCCTTAAAGGCTCTGGAGATGGTTCCCTTGGAGCCCAAGAGATGTTGCAAACCCACCTCTGGGCAGATGTAACTCTTTTGGCACACTTGAGGGACACATCAACACCCAACAACGTTTCTGCCTGACAGAGAAAAAACCCCACAAACAAACAAACAACAAAACAAAACCCCCTTGTTTCTGTGCTGGGTTTGGTGACAAGGATTTAAAAAGAAACTGGCCACAAAAGCCAACTCTGCTGCCCTTGAAACAACTTATTGCTCCACTTGGGACTCCCCGGGGTGGGATGTCACCAGCCACAGTTGGCTTCATGTCCTGGTGCCCCTGAGGAAGCCAGAACCCCCAAGGAATTACCACAATGCCCACAGCCTCTGGGTGCTCCTTGCCCCCCAGCCTGGTCCACATCAACTGGGGATCAACTGCCTTGTTCTCAGCTCTTCTCAGGTGCCTCCCCACGAGGAAGGTGCCATGTTTATTGCTATTGCTTCCTCTTCTCCCCACTTGCCAAGCAGAGCAGCTGGACATCACCCCCCTCTCTGGCCTTTCTCAACAGTGCTGGGATTTGTGCTTGGATGAAAATTTCTCCTGGAAGTCTCCAAGCTCAGCTGTAACCCAAAGGATGGAGGGGCACCTCAACGGCTGTGGAGGCCAATGACATGGGTGCAAGGTGAAGCCACTTGTTTTCCCTTTCACCTTGTCTTGAAGATTCTCCTCCATCAGCCAGCTGCCCCATTTCCACACACCACCAGACTCTGGAGAGGCTCTTCAGACCAAACCCTGAACATGGAGAAGCTCTTCAGAACAACCCCTGAACCTAGTGAAGCTTTTCATATCAACCTCTGAACCTGGAGAAGCTCTTCAGAACAACCCCTGAACCTGGAGAAGCTCTTCAGATCAACCTCTGAACCTGGAGAAGCTCTTCAGAACAACCCCTGAACCTGGAGAAGCTCTTCAGACCAACCCCTGAACCTGGTGAAGCTCTTCAGAACAACCCCTGAACCTGGTGAAGCTTTTCATATCAACCTCTGAACCTGGAGAAGCTCTTCAGAACGACCCCTGAACATGGTGAAGCTCTTCAGAACAACCTCTGGACTTGGAGAAGCTCTTCAGTCTAACCCCTTGGACCTCAAAAAGCTCTTCAGACCAACCCTTGGACATCTCCTTGCCTCCTTCACCAGCCACCCAGCACAACTCTGGCCACAACCAACAGCCACGCAAGGAACTTCTCCCTCACGCAGCCTCAGGATTTGGCCCATGGGGAGCACCTCATTTTCCCAAGAGCTTCAAGATGCTCCCTGGACACACTTCTCCACCAGACTCTTCCCATCAAGCAAGACCCATTTGCCTGGTTGGAAAAAACAGGCCAAAGACCCAAAGGTGACCAGTCCTCCTACTTCCTAAGACGAGTGCGTCACGTCGCTAATTAATTATATTTATATTCTCTTACTCCTACAAAAGAAGGGATGAGTTAAGAATTCCACAGCAGATAATGCATGTATCACCTACCACGACAGCTATCTGGAAGACACCAATTTTCTTGCAATATTGTTATGGAAGATTAAATAATTTATATTAATCAACTAAACCCCCAAAACAAAAGCAAAACAAAGACCCGACCCAAACCTCCCGGCGCTGTGCTTGTCACGTCGTACCCTGAACATCAACCACTCCTACTAGCCCCCAAAAAACCCCCCCCCCCCAACCAACCCAGGCTCTCAAGGACAACAGAACAACAACAAAAATGAATCATCATCATCAAACAAGAAGAAGAACCCCAATGGGTGGGAAGTGGGGGGGTGGGGGTGGGATCTCTGCACCACCAACGGTTGGACAGGGGGATGTTCTGAGCTTTCCAATGATAGGACCAAGGAGAGGACTTTGCTATTGCTCAGTGTCAGGACACGTGTCACACAACTGATGTGGGTTGGGGGAGGGAAGGAAGGGGGGAGAGAGGAGAGGAACAACCCCAAAAAATAAAAATAAAAGAGGCTGAAGATTAGAAAAAGCAGCTTTTACAAAAACCACTAAAGAATGCATAAAGTGACCCTTGCACTTCTGTTGTTGCTGTTGTTGTTGTTGTTGGTTTTCCTTTTGTTCTTGCAAACAGAGCAGGTGCTGCAGCACCCACGGCCACGGCACCGACGTAAGACTTGTGGAGTTGCATACAATGTGGGGCTCTGGATCTGGAAGGGAGGAAATGGAATCAAAACAAAGAGTTAGAAGCAAGTGGTGCAGGGTCGTGGAATCCTAGAGGGGTTTGGGTTGGAAGGGATCACAAAGATCATCAGGTTCCAACCCCTCTGCATGAGCAGGGACACCTCCCAGCAGCCCAGGCTGCTCCAAGCCCCATCCAACCTGCCCTTCAACACCCCCAGGGATGGGGCAGCCACAGCTTCTCTGGGCAACCTGGGCCAGGCTCTCCCCACCCTCACACCACAGAATTTCTCCCTCCCATCTCAGCTCCAGCTCCCTCTGCCAGCTGGAAAGTTCCTGGGCTGGCAGCTATAACCTGGCTCCTAGAGGTAGGAGAAGACAAGCTGGAACACTCCCAGCTGGACAGAGTAACTCCCCATGGGCCTGGAATGGT